CATCATGATCATCCTCATCAACATGATCATCCTCATCAACATTACCATTCATCATCATCATCATCAACATAATCATCATTGTCCATCATCATAGTCATCATTGCCATTATTATCTCCCATTGAACATCATATTTATCAACATCATTTCTCATCATCCCAGAAGATTGAAAGAAGAAAAATTCCTAAAAATAAAATTGAGCCAAAAAAATGGAGAAAAATGGGAAAACTTTGTATTTTTCTTCTTGTCCCAATAGTATTCCCAAGAGCTAGTTCCCATTTTATCTCGATGTCCTTCATGCGCGGTTTCCTCTTCCACCAGAACGAGTCTATTATATGGATCACGTGTTGTATTAGTAATATTTGCCTTGTCCTGATATTACCAGCGACAGCAGGAAGGCAATCAAATATGTAAACTACATGGCGAAACTTTCTATTTAACCCTACATATAATCCCAAATCTATCGTATATTCACCACTACAAGCCTTAAAAATGGCTTCGAACGATAGCATTCGCTATATTGAGCATCCTGAACCTCCAGAAGGAGACCAAGGGATCGGGCTTAGTACTGAAATGGGGCCCATTATAACAGCTCTGAAAGAAGGGAATATAATGACAAGATATTACAGCAAAAGAGCTCCAGATCTCAGGATATTTTCTTTAAAATTGGAGGAATTTCAAATTGCATGGTCCAGGACTGGAGGTGGGAAGGACATTAACCGTATTGAAGGATGCGGTAAGGAAATGTTTTAGGCTGCAAATGAGACAAGTTGTGCAGTTTTTTCTTCCTACTCTGTCAAAAGTCAACCAAAAGTCGATTTAATTCATTCATTTGTGGTTTTTTCCTTTCTGTTAGTGAAAATTCGTGAGATCTCTGAGGTTCGTCGTGGTCAAGGCTCCAGAGATTTTGAAAAAAACCCGGACCTGACTAGAAAACTTGATCCGAACTGCTGTTTTGTTGTGTTCTACGGCAACGAGTTCAAACTCAAAACTCTAAGTTTAGTGGGTATGTACTTTAAATATTAAAAAATATAACCCCTCTTTGCTGTATTAAAGCCTAAAAAGCTATCCTTCTATCCCAGAGGTAAGTCTTATCCTTAAAAAGACCCCGATAAATATTAAATTCAAGTTCATTATTGAGCACCTTTGAGATTAACTTAAGCATTAATTCATAATTTTTCCAAAATGACTACCTCTTAATTTTTAGCTCGAAGTCATAAAGAAAGAGAATATTGGGTGAAAGGGCTTGTATTTTTGATGTACGAAAGTTTAGTCGCTACACAACCAGTTCTAACTTACAGGTAAGTCTTGATTCATTTAATTTTCGAGATAATTCTTTTTTTTTTTTTTTCCCTACAAAAATTTAAAACCAAGCTATTAATGTCTTTAAGTTATTCCTAGGTAACATTAAAATAGAAACAGGTTAGCGGGAAGTAATGAAAAAAATCTCACCTAAAAGTTGTTTTGTTTAGTATTCTTTGGGGTAATTTTTAGTCTTCTATTATTTCAGTTTTTGCGGTTGTCTTGATGTATAAACGGTCCTCTAAAAAGCGGAAATAATAATTAAGCAAGCAAATGGGCGTTGGATATATTTACAACTTGCATTTACTTTTTGTCATTTGCTTTTTTTCTCCATTTTTTCGTTGTAGATGGTTGTTAAGAGAATGGAATACCCTCACTGCCAACTCCACACAAAAGAAAAAGTAAGAAACTAATTGTGTTATAACTGAAAGGAAATTTTCATTGAGGTGTTTATACAAACACTATGCTATTTTGATTGCTTTTTTTCTGCTCTGGCTTATTAATTTTGTGAGTGTTTTGCATGCCAAGCTTACTGTTTGGTCTGAACTAAGTCAACCCAGTAGAGGACAGCTGTAATTTAAAAAAGATTATTTATAGTGAATAGTATGTAGGCGGTTGTGCTTTTTTTAGCGTTGTTCACAGTTTTTTAGGATTTTTGATTAATTATCACAGATGAAACAGCGTCAAACATATCAAGATTGTCACAACAAACCAAATTTATTATGTGTTTATTTAGAGATATTATTTTCTAAGTAACTTTGAATTATGCAGAAGATAGGTAGTTAGAGAAGTGTTCGTTTCAGATCATTAAATCGTAGATAATTACTAGACTCAAGCTCAAATCACTACTGTTTAATTTAAACAGTTGTTTAATAACTTGATATATTATTGGGAACTGAAAGAGAGTATGGCTGATATTGGGTGACATGAATATTTATTAATTGGACTTTATTACCACATAGGCTGCCCAATATTTCATTAGCGACGACCCCATGTGAATTCATTCATTCAATAATATTTTTGGTAATATCTAAACAGGGGTTTCATTAAGATTCGGGATCAGAGAAAGAACTCTGGCTAGTTTATTGTCTTTATTTTATCATTTAAAACATACTGAAACCCTTGCTCAATATTGCTCACTTGAGTCAATAGCAGACTGTGCATACTGGTGATTATTGCACTGCATCTTATATATTATTAGATTAATAATATAGTTTGGTAATGTCTTACTATTTGCTGTCTGTAGTCATTTGGAACACCGCACTGGCAATTATTGCACAGCATGTGATAGTATACTAGATTAATAATATATTTGGTAATATTTCAATATTACTGGCTTTATTCATTTGAAGACTACGCATAGTTGCAATTATTGCATGGTATCTGATAGTATATGAAATAAATAATTTGTCTTTTAATTTTCATAAGATTTACTATGGGTAGCATGGGTGGCGTTCGTGGCTAATGCGTCGTCATTCACCGCTGTGAGTCCAACGGGTCAGGTCGCTGGTTTGAGCCCTGAGGTTGCCACGTGAATTGAGTTTGTTTGATTTATTGTTCTCTCCTATGCTACAAGGGTTTTCTCTGGGTTCTCCGGTTTCCTCCCTCCGTAAAAATGTACATGTGAGTTGAGCATTGTGTGCATATTATATTGAATGAAGTGGTAGTGTGTGTGAGCAAAAAGTGTTCCCAATTAGTGCGAAAGCGCTAGAACGGCTAGCACTTACATGTATTTTATGATTTTAGTCAATATATTTATGTACATAATTTTCCTTGTATACCAAAGGACAGGACAGGAAAAAAGTTTTTGGCCTTAGGTGCCATAAGCCAAATAGCAAAATATCAAATGGGACCAAAATTTATTGAATGCATATTTGAGATAAAAAGCTTTGTACTTTGGGAGAGCTGATATTTTGATCAGCAGAAAAACTGACATTTTCTTGAATACTAATAAGTAGCCTTTACTCTAATTCAGCAAAATTCCGTCGCAAGTTTCGAGCAGCAGTGACACAAATGAAAGGCTTAAAAATTTGGAGTATTAAWTTCAGTTAAATAAAAAAATCATGAAAGTAGCAGGCGCTTGTCGTTTTTCTGCCCTGTCATACCAAAGTCTGTACTCTTCATAACAAAAATCAAGCTAGCATAACCTAGTCTTTAACCAAAGTCTTTACTCTTCATAACAAATATCAAGCTCGTATAACCTAGTCTTTAACCAAAGTCTTTACTCTTCATAACGAATAAATATCGAGCTAGTGTAACCTAGCAACCCAAATGGATTCCAAAAACCTTAACTATATTTCAATTTATGTTCTGGCTTTCGTAGAGGTGATTAAGTTGAGCAATTTTTGAGGTACGCTAATGTCATGGCTGGAAAACATGTTTCTACAGGAAATTAAGAACATGAATGGTTGCCCTTAGAGATGTATAAATTTTTGATGGAATTATTTTTTCAGGCTCATTGAAAATGAAATATTTGCATGGCTGTTTTTTCCATAATTATTCCTTGCATTAGGGTGGCTTCATATAGTTTTGTTCAGGCGCACGCCAGGTCGTGCATGAGCATGTGCAGTACCAAAACTTGAAGAATTTTTATTTAGATGATGTCACGAAAAGTCAGTTGCATGAGTTATTTAAAAAAATAAAAACTTGAGAACTATGTGGTCAAATATCTCCAAATTCCTGCAGTTTTTTCTTCGTAGAATGATAAGGCAACTGACGCAATATAAAAAATATCTGGACTACAGAAAACATTTTTTATCTTGAAAAATCAATTTTTCTTGGTTTCTTTAGTCACGATTTTAATAAAGCGTTGTCATATAATAGGTAACAAAACAAACTTTCATATTACACAATCTAAAAAAGTTTAACCACAGGAAACTCAAGATTTTAATTTTTAATGGCAAAAAGGTTGTTTTGTGGCTGACATGTCACTGCTATGGTAACTACAGTATTCACATGATCATTTTCATGAAAAATGATTCCTAAACTCATAGTCTTTAATATGGTTAGCGTATCACATATCAAGATATAGATCTGTTTTTGCTGTAAAATAATTTCTAGTCCTATTACTCTGAAGCCACCTTAAACCTGTTTAAAAAATTTGAGGTTTGTATAGTTTTTACTGGGTAAATAATCATTAAGTTAAACACAAATAATGTATTAAAAAATTACTTTAATAAGCCTGAAGCAAGATGACGTTTTACCCCTGACTCTATACCATAATGGCTTTTAAAATTCTTTCATATTAAAATTTTTGATTCCTTAGAGAATACAGGAACAATAGTCATAATTAAAGAACAAAAGCAGTGTGAAAAGGATTATGGTCTAGAGACGGGGGTAAAACGTCATCTTGCTTCAGGCTTATTTGTTAAAACTTTTTTTTTTTTAATTTAAATTTAACCTGAAGGAGATTTCTGCCTTATAATCTTTTTTTTTTTTTTTTTTTTTTTTTTTTTTTTTTTTTTGTCTTTTTAGAATTGGAATGAGAGAAATGAAAGCATTTTTTCAAAAAGCAAATGTAAAAATGAGCAATACCAGAATAAAAGAACTTCTCCAGGTAGGTTTATCCAAAGGTTTAAAAAACATTTGATTCCCCTTCACCACCCTGATTTACCAAATTAATGTTGGTTCCCAGTAAGTTATAAAATTTTGAGTGTTTCTCTCTTTTTCTTGTTCTAGAATATAGATAGAAGTGCACAAATTGATTTTGAACAGTTTAAAAGAATTTACCATGAAATCATGTGCACCAAAGAGGTGAGTAAAATTTAGTAATGGAATACCTATGCTATACACTATATCATAAAATAACTGCTATGAATTTCACGTTCTGATTGGATGGGAGCTMGTGCTTTATAAAAGCACACTGCACAAGTGCACATCTTTTTTTTCCTTTTTTTTAAAACTAAAAAAACTTGCTTGTTGTGCTGTGTGTAGTTATAAAGCACTTGACGGATTAACAGATCACTAACTTGAAAAGTGTTGAGAAGCACTCCTCTGCATGTTTTTCTTCTCCTAATTTTTTTTCCATGTTCTGCAAATCCAAACGTTTATAACTAGGCACAGCATGCTTGTGCATCTTCTATTTCTTTAAGAAACCCAACATAGTTTTGATAAAGCATTTTTGCCAAAACTTCAATGTAATTTAAAAAGTTTGTCAAAGAATTAAATTTGATTGTTGTTTCAGCTTACATCAAAGTTTTCAAGTTATATAGAGAATGGGTAAGTTTAGTGAACTTTGCCTAATATTTATTTCTGTTTTTCAATTTTTTCATCCACTTTTATTTTGATGACATCATGGAAAAGAGAGGATGAGGAAAGATAAAATGATCAATTGTGTTATAATAATTTTAAACACTTGGCATTACTGCGATTTTCATAAACATGTGAACTCTGTGTCTCCGAGTTGCACGCAGAAATTTGTTTTTTTGCTGCCGCCAGTCAAAAATATGCAAAGTACCAACTGATGCAAAAACCAAATTTCAGAGTGCAGCTTGCAGACACACATGTTTATGAAAATGGCAGTAATATATTTTTTCACTTTCATTAAGTTGCTTTTTATTCATATTTAGTACATATGTGCCACTTAAAAAGTTCCAGAAGTTTCTATTGGAAGAGCAGCAGGTATAGTAAAACTAGAGAATAAAATTACAAAATAAATGTTGGTTGGGTGTTGGTAGGTGGTCAGTAGGGTGTTGGTAGGTGGTCAGTAGGGTG